ATATAATGACGAGTAGAGTCATAAAATAGCGCGAGGCATATATAAAAGGCCTTATTCTGAGTTTTCAATAATTTCATGATAATTTTAATCAACGGGCTAATTAACGTAATAACGAACTAGAGTGATTATATTTCACATGTAGAACATGCCCTGATACAGTAATTTCGATAAATAAGCCGTTTTCCAATTTGGCAACACGCTGGAAACTTTAACTGGTAAGCAACACGCCGCCAGAAACTCTAACTCAGTAGTTCATACGAACTTTGCCGATTATTATGCGCATTAATTATTATCGTTTTAATTAGTTTTGTTGGAGTCCATAGAGACTACCCGTATGATTCTTTTGATTAATTTTGCATTATTTCACTTTTGGCAACACGCCGCCAGCAACTTTAATTTATCAGTTCAAATAAACTTTGCGAATGATCGTGCGAATGGATTGCGAATACACACACACACACACACACACACACACACACACACACGGGGTGGGTGCGGGGGAGAGGGGGCCGAAGGCCCCCTCGCACCTCCCCGTGTGTGTGCGTGTGTGCTTCCCACGCATAATTAAACTAATGAAACTCCCAGCGTGAGACCTAATTGCTTGAATCGAGATGCTTGGTTATTCTGCACGATTAATTCATTTAAAATTGGCGCAGTTTTACATGCGCGTGCGGCCACTGAGCATGCGCATGTGGCCACAGGGCATGATCGTAGTCGCTACAGTTCGTCGGTATGACAGGAATCATAACCTAATTCCTGTCAACTTTAACGTTTAATATCTTGCGTCGCGGGGCAGAGCGACACTTTTTTCTGCCAGATTCTTTCGTTTCGTACAAAAACGCGTCGATTGAGCATAATTACATCGAGATTTGAAGTGAGGCCCCTAAACTGAATAATTACCATGTGCAGGTTTCTACTTGCACACTTTACTTTTTTAATTACTATCGGGATACATGGCTGAATGGCTTTAAGCCCGGTTTGTTCTGTATTTTTCAAAAATTACATAGGACAAACAATGTTTCAGAGAGACATAACCGGGAACTTCGAGAAAGCTTAACCCTTAAATGCCACACCTCTCAAGAATCTCGTAAATGACACATGGGGTCTAAAAGACCCCAGCATGAAAAATGTCTCCTTACTCATTGATTTTTTTATATTTAGTTATGAAAATTATTTTCAATGTTGTTCAAGGCTTAGAAAAGAGAATAAAATGCTTATATTGTTAAAATTGCAATTTCAACATAGTATAAAAAATTAAGTAAACTGAGTACTGCTAAGTGTACAAACGGGTAGGTCAATTACTCAACTATCATCAATGGAAGCATGAGCTCCATTTTTGGCAAGAACATTTGAAAACATTTCATTCTAAAGGGTCTGAGGTCCGCTGGACCCCGGGTGGCATTTAAGGGTTAAATAAACACTCGAGAATTGTAGAATTTTTAGGTATATTATGAACGTTTTATTGTAAACACTTTTTTCCAGAATATTTTTACTGTCTTTACAATTCAATATTGGGGTTCTAAGGGGGCAGTGCATGCGTAATACACGGCGCCGTTTCCAGCTAGCACCGCATAGCCTCTCCTGCTCAATTCCGACTCTCACCTCCAAGCAGGCGTTTATGCCGGTGAACCCTGGAAGCCTAAGCAACCATGACGGAGATCGGGTACCAACCCCGGTGGAAGTTGTGGTCAGGACTAACAAGAGCGGGAGAAATGGCCCTCCGAAAAGGGGGTTGGCGAGGGGCTAACAACCCTTCCCGTAAAAAATTACAAGTTGTGAAGCCAATAATAGAAAATGCCGGACAGAACCTACGAAAACGACCTACGCTTAGGAAAAAGGACAATGATTTAAGGATTTATACATGGAATGTACGGACTCTCTACTGGGGAGGAGCGCTGCGAGTGCTAGGCGAACCCTGGAAAAATACCGAGCAGACATAACAGCTATACAGGAGATGAGGTGGACAAAACAAGGCACGCTACAAAAAAGGGAATACGATGTATATTACAGCTGCTATGAGCACATACTTAGGACGGCCTTTATAGCCCACAAGCGCCTAAAACACCTCGTCGTTGGATTCAAGCCGATATCACCTAGGCTGAGCGTTCTCAGAATCAAGGGAAGATTCTTTAACATCAGTCTGATAAACGTGCATGCACCGACAGAAGACAAATCGGATGTGGAGAAGGATGAATTCTACTCTGCCCTGGAAGATGCATACGATAAATGTCCTAAGAACGACATAAAGATCATTGTTGGGGACTTTAACGCAAAAATTGGCAGGGAGTCAAGGTATCAATCGCATGTGGGTAAATATAGTTTGCACAAAGAGTCCAACGAAAATGGAGATAGAGCCATAGGCTTTGCCGCTTCTAAAAATATGATCATAGGAAGCACAAAGTTCAATCACAAGGATGTGCATAAGCCTACATGGGTGTCTCCCGATGGTCAAACAATGAATCAAATAGACCATATGCTAATAGATGCCAGGCACGCGTCAAACCTGCTAGATGTGAGAAGCTATAAACGAGCAAACATTGACTCTGACCACTACCTACTTGGTGCGAAATTCCGAGCCAGAATTTCAAATGTAAAAAAGCTCGCGAGTGAGAGGCAAAAAAAGTACAACGTCCTTCGGCTCAGGGATGAGGAGGTAGTGCATAGATTTCAGGAAACAATCAATAAACATTTGTGCCCGCAAGAGCATGAAGAGCATAACATGTCAATTGTTGAAATCTGGGATAGATGCAGAAATGCCTTAACAATAGCAGGGAATGAGGTCATGGGGGAGTGCAGGCGACAGGATAAAGCGGAATGGTTCGATGACGACTGTAGGACAGCGACGAACATAAAAAATGACGCGTATAAAAAATTGCAGCATCGAAGGACGAAAGCAAATGTGGAGCGCTATAGAGACCTAAGAAGGGACGAAAAGTGGATACACAGAATGAAGACGAGGGCATTTGAAAGCCAAAGAATGGAGGAACTGGAACAACTGAGGGATCAGAATGAAACAAGGAAGTTCTACCACAGTGTGAATGCACAGCGGAAGACATTTCAGCCAAGAGTCACAATGTGCAAGGACGAGAACGGGAACATCTTGAGTGAGAAATCCGCGGTGTTGAAACGTTGGCGTGAATACTTTGATCAAATGCTTAACCAGAACCAGGAACCCGACAATGCTGAGGAGGAGGTGGAAACCAACGCTGAAGTGCAGAACCCACCAACCCTGTTGGAGGTAAAGAAAGCTATCATAAAACTAAAAAACAACAAGTCACAGGGGCGGATAAAATACCTGCAGAATTCTATAAGTGCGGGGGTGAGGAATTAGCCATCTATCTCCAGCAGCTAGTGGGTGAGGTCTGGAAACAAGAAGCCATGCCGGATGAATGGGAAAAAGGGCTGATATGCGTCTTGCACAAAAAAGGTGATCAGCTAGACTGCTCAAATTACAGAGGGATAACACTACTAAATGTTGTGTACAAGATATTCTCCAACATCCTGTGCGAAAGGCTACGGCCATACACCGAAGCTCTTCTTGGGGACTATCAGTGCGGCTTTCGTCTGGGTAGGTCCACAGTGGATCAGATATTCCTGCTGCGCCAAATCCTAGAAAAAACTCTCGAGTTCAACATAAATACGTATTATGTGTTTGTCGACTTTAAGGCAGCATATGATAGTATCGTACGAGTAAAGTTATATAAAGCCATGGCAGAACTGCAGATCCCTAAGAAACTGATAGATCTCGCGAGGTTAACAATGAGTAGGGTTCTCTGCGCGGTCAAAATACAAAGTGACATAACCGAAACATTTGAGACCAAAAATGGCCTCAGGCAAGGGGATGCGCTTGCGTGTATGCTCTTTAACATCGCACTTGAAAAAGTGGTCAGAATGTCACGGATAAACACAACTGGGACAATTTATTTAAAATCGACGCAACTAATGGCGTATGCAGATGACGTTGATATCGTCGCGAGATCGGTAACTGGCGCAAAAGAGGCCTATTTGAACCTGGTGGATGCGGCGAAACAGCTGGGGCTACAAGTAAACGAGAACAAAACCAAGATCTTACTGTCATCCACCTCACAACGATGAGCGCACAACTTAGGACAGAACCCGACAATTGAAGACCATAATTTGGAGGTCGTGCATGACTTTGTCTACCTGGGGTCATCGGTTAACACGCAGAACTGTGTAACTGATGAGATAAAGAGACGTATAGTTTTGGCGAACAGATGCTATTTTGGACTGCGTAAGCATCTAAGAAACAGTAACCTAACCAGGAGAACAAAGATCAGGCTCTATAAAACGCTCATACTACCGGTACTTACATACGCATCGGAGACTAGGGCCATAAGTAAAACAGACGAACTGCTTCTGCTTGGGTTTGAAAGGAAGGTCCTTAGAACAATTTACGGAGAGGTGTGTGAGGATGGATTATGGCGCAGAAGATACAACTGCGAGCTGGATGACTTATATAAGAAGACTGACTCAAGAGATGTGGTCACGCTCATAAAGATTGGGAGACTGAGGTGGGCAGGACATGTGGCGAGATTTGGGGACAGCAACATCCGGAAGCGTACTCTCAACGGGGAGCCAGGTGGCAGGAGAAGACCAGGAAGGCCAAGGCTACGTTGGGAGGATGGAGTCGTGCGTGACGCAAAGAAGATCGGCGTTAGAACTAGCGCAATGTGGCGCAGAACGGGGATGTGTGGCGTGAAAAATTAAAGGAGGCCAAGACCCGCATTGAGTTGTAGCGCAACTGATGATGATGATTACAATTCAATATTATTTACAGCTAATCTGACTGAGGATTAAGGATCGATCCGCAATTTTTTGGAAAAGTTTTCCATTTTCGATCTCAAACCCCAATAACCATTATTGCAGAGGCAAATAATCCTGTAGGCAATAAATTCTGTTTGCTGAAAGATAAGAAACACATACATCAGTCAGCAGACTACATGAAAAAGTGACAATGAACATCGAGCAGGTCTGTCAATGAAAGATTAACGGTAAATATCGATTTTACGGACCTGCTCTCGGTTTGTTGCGTCAATCTGTCGTCGCATTGCTATTAACAGATCTACTCTGATATTCGCCGTTGGGATATGATTCCAACTTTTGTTTAGAATTTGGCAACGTTACTCTTACTCCGCAGGGAACAGGGATTCTGCAAGCACGTGGTTAGCTGGAAAGCTAGAACAAAAAAAAATTAATTATTTACATAATTTTTTATTTTATGAGAATATTAGCTAATTATCTGATATATTTGTCTATTCTTCATTTACTTTTTTCTATCTTCCTTGTTTATGCTTCTTTTATCTTGCACAGGTTTTATTCCGCAGTTGAAGATGATGGCAAACTAATTCCAGAGTGCGAAGAACGATGCTACAACTATGAGTGATATTTATTAAAAAACATTGAAAAAATTAAAATTGTTTAATTAGTAATAATAATAATAATTTATTCATAATTTTTTACCTCGTTCATCCTCTATGCACTTTGTTTTTTGTCATTTTTATTTAATTTTATTTTACTTAAGTGCCACAATGTATTTTACATTTACATTTATAAACTATTACAGTCGTAACATATTTATTATACACGCGTGCACATTATGGGTGCGTTCGGGGAGACGCTATTAGCGCTATATCGTACTACAAGCTGTTCGCGGAGCTGGATGGTAGCGCTACCAAATGCTATCATGACGTCACTAAGGATAGCGTGTGACGTCATAACTGCGCGCTACTAATGCTATTTCTTCCGAGGTAGTGCATGGGTAGCGTTAGCGTTTGCGGATGTTCAGGGAGACGCTATCAGCGCCTGTGGAACTGTTTGGGGACGTTCTGTGCTCACGTGAAGGTTATGTGTGCACGTTGTAAACCATGAACGTGTTCGGCCAGTATTTTCTTACAGTAAATCGTAAGTATATTTTGTGTATAAGAATATGTATAAATACTGCTGCAATACTGCTAATATCTTAATTTCCACTGTATAATCTTTTCTGTTTGCAGGAACATAAGTTCTTCTTCTTTCTGTTGGTTGGCTCGGAGACTGTCCTGTCCCATGCGGCCAAGAAACATAAGTTAATCGAACGGATTGAATGTTAGACAAGGGTAAAATAATACACGAGTTATGTTTCCGGACGCAGTCCTTAAAGCTAGGTATACATCAGTCGTATCGCAACATCGCGAGCGTCGTAATCGTAAGGCTGTAACTAATCACAATTAAGAATTCTTATAAAACTTGATTGTGATTGATCACGACTTTACGATTACGACGCTCGCGATGTTGCGATACGACCAATGTAGATCTAGCTTAATACTGGTGCGATATTGCTAATATTTTTATTTACACTGTGTATTCTTTTCTGTTTGCAGGAACGTAAGTTAATCCTCAGGAAATTAACGGTCTCTCCCAATTTATGGAGGGGAATCGAGAACAATTTTTATTGTTATTAGCGTTACAAATACGCGAACAAATAGCAGATGTATCATCGAGTGATAGTGATAATGAGGAATTCGTAATGTTAGAAACTGTATTACGTACTAGAAGAAAAATACCCAGAGTACCGTATTATGTTGAAACAATAGTGCCGACAATGACAAATCAAGATTTCAAGTCTCACTTCAGGTATTAATACAAATGTCTTTTATTATTATTTCTGTTGAAATATCTGTGGTTTGAAAAATATTAGACGATTTACATAAAGAATATATTATATTATAAATGAATAATTATTCCTTAATTTAGAATGCGTCCTGGAACTTTTGAATACTTGCTGTCCATCATTGGTCCTAAATTACAAAGAGAAACAGGAGGAACGCCAATGATTTCTCCACATAAACAATGTTTATTGGCATTGTGGAGACTGGCCACTCCAGATTCTTTGAGGTAAAGAATAAGCTTATTAAGCATAGAGTTCTGCATAATCAACGATATCAGTAGGTCTATTCTCATAACTCATAACGACAGTTCATTATTGTTACAATATCGTTGTGCAGTATTTTTACTATGTGAAAAAGTTGCGCAACAACATTATAACGATGACGAACTGTCAGTAAGAGTTACAGAATGGGCCTACAGTTGTCGCAAGTATCAATCTGTTTTTGTGTTTTGCTGAAATAAAATTTTATAATTATAAAGTTCTAAATTGAAAAAATTATGAAGCAAAGTTATGTAAGAAATAAAAAGTAAAAAGAATTTATAGCTATTACTTGAATAATAATTGTATAATTTAATGCTGTAACGATTTTTACAATAATCATAAAATTAATGTCTGAAATGTTTTCAGTAATAATTGCTAAAATGATTTGCACTAATTATACAATTATATAAAAATTTCTTTTAGGCATCACTTTTTTTAAGATTGCTATATATTACAATAATTGAATTTAAAATTAATGATTTTAAAAGTTAGATTTAAATTTATTACGCAATATATTAAACATTATATTTTAAAATTTAAATGATGCTAAGTGTTCTGCATACGTTCTTATCTGGGTAGTAACAGATGATGCTTATATTGATTTACATCATTAAACAGAGAATAATTTTTGTTTTTATTTTTTAATGTCCTCAGATCTATTTCCGACCGATTTGATGTCGGCAGAAGCACAGCATTATATGTTACACGACGTGTAATAAATGCAATTATTGATTTGGCGCCAAATGTTATAAAGTGGCCTAGAAACGAACGAGTTAACGAAATATGGACGGGATTTGAGAATGCTAGTGGATTTCCGAAGGTCATTGGTGCTATTGACGGTACACACATCACCATTCCAGCTCCAACAGATAATTCAGCAGCGTATGTCAATCGCAAGGGTCGTCATTCGATTCAACTTAAGGTAATATGCTTTTTTGCTTCAAGAATTCTCCTTAAACCAGTATTTATAGTCCAATCTTACATTTAAGATCATTTCAAATTCATCTTTAGATACTCCGTATTCAATGAAATGATTCGTATAGTATTTAAATAAACTTAAGACAATCTATTTAAGATCGGACTATGAATATCTAAAGCTAAGTTTATATTGATCAGTTATATTGATCATTAACTTAAGTTAGGTCTACATCTATCGAACGCTCTGAATTATAAGGAAATTGACCAATCATAGTCGAGTGTTTATAAGAAAACTCGACTGTGTTTGGTCAATTTGCTTACGATCCAGAGTGTTATGATGTAGACCTAGCTTTATGCTGAAACCGGTAACAAATTGATCAATCGTAGTCATTGTAGTGTGCTCTCCATATAACTTCATGTAATCTATATTGGTTTGTATATTTTTTTTGCAGGCTATCTGTGATCACACGTGTCAGTTCATTCATTGCTATGTCGGACATGTAGGATCAGTACATGACCAACGAGTTTTTCGTCTGTCGGAAGTGCAATCTTATCTTGGAGACGTATCAAAGTTTCCAGAAGAGTCTCATTTAATTGGTGATCTAGCATATAAGCTACATGAAAATTTGTTGATACCATATCGAGATAACGGTCATTTGACAGAACGCCAAAGAAATTATAATTTTGTGCATTCTTCAGCAAGAATGGCTATAGAAAGAGCATTCGGACTTTTGAAAGGACGTTTTAGAAGTTTGCTAACAACTCTTGCATTAGATAAAGTAGATTTAATACCATTACACATTCTAGCCTGTTGCGTATTGCATAATATATGTTTGATGAAAAATGATATTCTCGATATCGAAGTAAATGAGGACGTACACGCGATAGATTGTGTGAGGGATAATAATGAAAATATACAAAATGCTCGTGCAGGTATTATAAAACGTGATTTAATAGCAGAACGGTTGCGAAAATTAGACATGTTTAGAAACAGTATTAAATTAGTTTAAGAATAGTATAAGATATGTATTAATAATATAGTTTAGTAGGTACTTAATGTAGTATAGTATAATGTAAGTAAGGGGGGGTTCTACAATAGTTGCAAATGCAAAAAGAACATAATTGATAAATCACATCGCCATATGGCGTTTACGACTAGCGACAAGGCATTTGTAACTCATTGTAGAAATCCCCTAATAGTATAATAAAAATAATTGTACGTATTTAGTATATCTAGTAATAGTAATTATAATAAAAAAAGTTTAGTACATATCAGTCTTTAAAAATTGCGTAACAATAAATTCCAGCTCGAACTACAACTTGTCTAAAATTTTGTCGAGTTTTTCCATAAACTTCTTTTGCATTTCCATTCTTTCCTTGTGTCTTCTATCTTTTCCCTCCTCAGTCATTCGGCGATTTTCTGTTATTTTTTCCATTACATCTGCAGCTTTACGTTTACCTAGAAATATAATTTAATATTTATATTAGTATTTATATTACCTATTATAATTTAATATATTTTTGTTTTTTATATCTCATAGTCTAATTCAATTAATAATCAATAATAGTTACTTACGAGAAACTTTACTATCAGATTGACAAGTAGAACTGCTACTACTGCAAGGACTTGGAGATTTAGATCTTTCAAAACTGGATTTTCCGGTTGATGAAATAAGTGTTAAAGGTGACATGTAACGTTTTTTTCCAAGAAAACTTTCCATAGCCTTAAAATTAATATTAGGATTACGTTTTAAAATTTACTTATTGAAGAAAATTTTACTAAAAAGTTATAGCTTACATTCATAGAGTACATTACGATTAAACACAGATCAATCAGATTTAATAAAACCCTACGCAACTATACAATCTGATTGGTCTGTGTTCAACTGTAACATAATTAAATAGGTCTATCTCTAAAGTAATACTTACATCATAATATTTCCATGTACGTTTGTTGTTGCCAGATCTCAAATTGTGATCTTTAATGGTTTTATATGTCCGCTTCATGGTGTTAATTCGTGTCATGCATTGTCTACTTGAGACATCATATCCTTTGGAATTCATTATCGCCGCTATTTCATTCCATACTTTCTTTTGACTTATTTTACCCGAAGACATAGATGATTCTCGCGATCTGTATTCTTCCAATAGTAGCATTATTGCTTCGTGAGACCACCTGAAATCTGCAATGTAAACCAAATAATGTAGAGTGATAACACAATCATTAAAAAATATAATTATATTTCATATTATAAAATTTACTTACTTTCTTTATTTTCTGTCGAGAAATCTTCATTTCCCTGAGAAAATGTGTTCATATCATCTATAAAAATAATGTATGTAATTAACAATAAAAACATAACTAATTAATTTTCCTGCATGTTAAGAAGAATCTGAACTGAATTGATCACATACCACATGTTTCTTCCGTAAAATCATTAGAGTTTTCTTGCATATGTTCAGATCCTCCTAAAAAATAATATTTTAAAATACAAATAATATAGATCGTACTGATCTGCAGATTGATCACATACCACGTATTTCTTCCAATGTAGTATCATTTGCAAAGCTTTCTTGCCTATGCTCAGATGATTCTAAAAAGTAAAAATATTTTTAAAAATAAATGACATAATTTGCATTGATCTGTAAATTGATCACATACCATGTGCATATGTTCAGATGTCTCTAAAAAGTAATATTTACAAATACAAATAACAGTTTACATTGACTGTTTCATACATGCATCAATATTAACTGTATTTTTAATATAGGTGAGGATTGTTAAAACCATTCTTACCAAGACATGCACTGTTTTGAACTCGTGTTTGACGTGCAACATTTAAGAGGGTAGTTGCAAAAGACAAATCTGCATGTAAAAATAGCAATATAACATTAAAATAGAACATTTTCCTTTTACCATAACTTATAATATTTTACCACCGTTACTGTTTATTGCATAACTATTTTGATGCATTATCTGTGCAAAATTATTGGTAAAACGTGCATAAAAAGTGACAGAATAAACTTTTGAAATAGAAAATAAATACAGAAAGATAAAGCTGCCATTTTAAAATAAAGCCAAGCATTTATTGTGACAAAAGTAAAAACCATATTAAATTAATTGTATTAATATTTAAGAACAAATAAAAAATTATGACTCCCAGCGTGAAGAAATAATTAAAAAAACATCAAATCGATGGAACAGCCATCGATTTGATATTTGTCATATGCAAGCAAAAACATTTCGAAATTATTTA